TACATGCACACATGTCAACAGTGAAAAATTTGCCAAATTTTAGAATGAAGAATTTGAGATAAAAGCAGTAAAAATTTATTACTATAATTTTTATTCTTCCACATGGTTACAGGGTAAACACGTTAAAAATGAAAGTGGCTTTGGCTGTTTACAAAAATATTAGGTCACACACATAAATTTAAACTATACAGTATTTATTAAAAGACACATTAATATTCTTACTCAGGAGGTAGCATAGCTTTCATCATCACAACTTCCTTTCTCACAACACCTCCCCTCACTCCACCCACTCCTCATCCTTACCTACAAAACATCACATGACTATCATCAAAAGTCACATCATCTCTCACTTGTATGGTCACGAGGGGATCTTGAGGGACGAGGGAGAGGTTGTCCGTCACATGTGGTCTCCTGGTTCTTCAATACAAGAGATACTAGAGGACCAATACTCTTCCTTTCCGGAGGATGTCACGTCTCATTCATTTAATTAAGAGGAGAACATCAAAGAGAAGATAATGAAGAGACTCAAACCTTCCTAACATATAGGAGAGACTATAATAGAAAGAGAGGGAGGGAGAGATATACATAGAGAAAGGAAAGAAGGAAAGGAATAGAATGAGGGGGAGGAGGGAAAAGGAGGGAAGAAAAATAGAAAGAAGAAAGGGAAGAAAGAAAAGGAACAAGTAAAGAAATGAGAAAATGGAGAGAAAAATACATATGTACATGGTGATAGGAAATGTTTCCTGTTTTTCTATCACTTTTCTTTCAAATTGTGTGTGCCACTGCTTAGGTACAGTTTTCATGGATTAGTAAAGTGTACGAATCAAGTTAGCAAATTAATAAGTTAACTACAATGAAGCAGCTAAAAGCAAGAAAAACAAAAAACATGCAGTACATGTACATGTATCATTAACTGAAAATGACTATAAATACACATGTACATGTACATGTATCAATTAATGGACAATGTTATGAAGACAAATTGAGGTAATACTGTCCATGCAGTATAGCTAATAGGAGGAGCACATGAAATAAAAGCTGAGATCCCTCCCTCTCTCTCTCTTTCTGATGTCCTTATGAGCCAAAAAGCAAAACTAAAATGATTTTTGTCAATTTATAAAATTTAATCCCCAATAAATAAGTACATGTATGCATGGAGAGAGATATACATGTACATATGGTAGAGAGTGGATACAATATTTACCTTGCAAATATTTTAGATAGTTTATCCAGTTTGATCACATTATTAGGTAGACATGTTAACTCATTGTACTGGACCTATAATAACAATAACACACAAC